ACGTCTAATCATGGCATTTATCAATTCACACAAAAACTTTGCTGTTAAATCTGAATTAGACGTCTTTTCAACTAAACCAAGTCAACACTCTATTGAATCAGGTCTTTTTATAGAATGCAGGTAATTATATTTTGATTTAAAGTTGAAGATTAAAATTAAAAGAAATTATTTTTAGACCAATTTCTGTATTGGACTCGGACAGTCCGCTAGAATTCTTCATAAGCGCTTCGGACGACTACATTGACCTTCCACACACACAAATTAAATTAAAAGTAAAAATAGGTCGGGAAGATGGAGCTGATATTGACGACAGCGATTCTGTTGCACCTTGTAACAACTTTTTAAATAGTCTTTTCGACCATGTGAGCGTAGAGCTTAATGGAAAAACAATCACTCCGCCTTCAAACTATTATAAATATCGTACATATATTGAAAATCTAATAAATTATTCAACCGAGGCTCAAAACAACGCCCCGGTATTCTTACAACCGAGAACAAGAAACATTGTCATCACTGGCAACATTATACAGTGTGCCTCATTCTTTCAGCCAGCATTTCTTATAAACGACCAATGGTACAAAAATGCACAACGAAGTTTTCAAGAAATAACTAAACCGAAATCGCTAAATCCGAACGCGGCAGATAAATGGTTATTCGAACCATTAAATGGAGTGGCCCATAAGGGGATATACTCCGAAATTGATATTTCAAGCTACGTGAAGAGCTTGAATGAGCCCTTAGTGATAAATTCGAAGAAGCCGAGGATGTATTTTGAATCATACAAAACCGTCATAAACGACGGCGACACCCGATCCCCCATATCATTATTAAAAAAAGCTATAAACGAGCAAGATTTTGAGTCACTTACCCTTCTTATACAATGGATGAGAGAACTGCTATTCGAGGCCTTCGAATTCGCAGCAAAATGTGGAAACATGTTTTCAGCCTTCCTTGCACTCTTATGCCTCGTAAACTCGGTAAAAATCAGCACCAGCATCTTGCTCCATTTTTATTTTCTTAGCCTGCCTCGGCATACAGAGTTCGATTAGCAACTCTTCACTAGTATCATCGGATTCTAAGATCCGGAAAGTGTCCGCCAGAGTATCGTCGAGCTCATCGAGCACTTGACGATCTTGTTGCTCTTGGCTTATAATTTTTTTATTTGACATTTTTTTCTTTCTTTATGAAGTTTTTTCTTTTTAACTTTTCACTCTGTTTTTTGTATGATTTTCTTAATTTCACTGCTTACACTGTTGACACTCAGAAATTGTTGATTAGGTATCATAAATTTTTTCAAATTAAAAACTTTTTATTATAAATTTTCTTATATAAACTAACTTTCGCAAACTAATAGATTTAAAATTTCCCATGTCTTAAGAGACTTAGTAAATTCTTACATTTTACTCTTCGCATAAAAAATAAACCTTCTATCATATGAAGTACATCTTAAAAATTTTCTTCCAATTACAAAAAAATATAATAATAATCATTAACCGTGTGGTCGTGTGGATTTAAAATAAAAAAGGAAAAATAAAACAAAAAAATTTTTTGAGTGTGAAAAAAAAGAAACTAAAAATTTTTTTCTCTCACCATCTCCC